TTTCGTTGTGAAAGCGAAACTACTTTGTTTGGCAAAAGAGGACACGACTAGAAATCAGTGGTTAAGTTGTATTTACAACACTGTTCCAGAACAGTTCAACCCAAATATTCAGATGTGTGCAGCACATTTTATGGAGGACTGTTTCCTGATCCTGGTAGAGTAGACTACAATGCCGGCTGTTCTGACTCACAGACTGTAAGTACGGTTTTTTATATATAAAGAATTTGCCACTGATGATTCAAACGCGAGTTTTTGGGCAGTGTAGTACGGTGGCCGAGAAGTGCAGAACAAATCACAATTCTGAAAACAAAATAACAAATTACAAACGCAAATGCAAGTCTAAAAAACAAATTAACAAGTCAGAAAACACAACAACAATTCAGACAAACCGGAAGAGGTAGGTATAGTTTGAGACAGTTCCATTGGTTTGGGATTACTCGCCACTGACTGGACGAGACATCTGTCAATCAACGTATACAGGAAGAACCAGAGTCCTGGTAGAAAGTTCAGCGGTGAGTAATCCCAAACCAATGGGCTGTCTCAAACTATAGAGAATGAGAATGTGACGTCACGGTACATAGGGCGGCGACGTAACCTGCACGTATGTTGCATAGGTATCAGCATATAATATACACGCTTGTTTCGATCATAAAAAAGCGAATTCATAGATACTAGACATGAAATAGGTGAGGTTATATTAACTAGTGGTCTATGATAACATGAATAAAACAGCATACACTACAACAGACAATATACAAGACAGTAATGGTATACACAATGACCAAAGGATATGGGTATTCAATCAAAGAAAGGTTTTCCTATGAATTAATTAGAGAACAGTCCATTTCTCTGGGCATTGTGTGTCTTTCTTATGAGGAAAATGAGGGAGTTTATCCCCTGCATTCCTTTTAGGCCATAAAACCAGTGATATCATGATTAGTTGTCATGGTGACCAAGGTGGGGGATGGTGTTCAGCCGAAATCCTGGCATCCAGTCTATTGAATGAGGGGACTGTGACGATTTGTTAATCTAATGAATAATTGATTTGTTAAATCAAATAAAAATTAGTGTGTCAGATTGGTCGAGACGCTACACACTATAGCAGGCCTTTGTTTGTAAAAGGCCTAAAGTCATTTTCTTTTGTTCATCCGTCCATCCATTTTCCAACCTGCTTTATCCTCTTAAGGGTCATGAGGGGCTAGAGCCCTGAACAGATCACACACAGACATGCACACAAATTCACACGTACAGGCAATTTTACGATGTCCAATTCATCTATGCTGCTTGTCTTTGGATTGTGGGGGAATCCATGCAGACACATAGTGAACATGCAAACACACAGAAAGGCCTCTAACTGTCAGGGTTGTCACAGCAGTTTACTAGAGAGAGAGAGAGAGAGAGAGAGACCCAGATGCAGAATGATCAAGGGAGTGAGGTTTATTGACAAGGCAAGGATTAACAGGGCTTATGTGAGAGTCCAAGCAGTAGGAAAGGGCAGTCTGCTGGTCCTTGGTCAGACCTGGACAAAGTTTTGCTGGAGAACAAAGGAGATAGAGCAGCACCAGTCAATGAGAACACTGGATATCAGGCAGCACCTTGAGAAACCAGGGCTTGATACTTTGAGCTGTGATACCAGTCCAGTCAGATAGCCAGGTCTTGAGAACAGCAGCCAGGAGGGATTCAGGACACAGAACAGGAACAAACACTAGACATAACACGACACACAAGACAAGACCACACGAGAGAACAAGCAGCAACAAAATAACACACTGACGACACACTATGACTAGAATGAAAAGAACAAAGAAACGAATACAAACTGCAGAGAGCAAATAAAACAAAAGAAAGAACCAAATGGCAAATTCTAGGAATCGATAACTAAAATAAAAACTGGGCAAAGACAAAATCAAAATAAAGAAAGAAACCAAACTAGAGGCTTGAATGATCAAGGGAGTGAGGTTTATTGACAAGGCAAGGATTAACAGGGCTTATGTGAGAGTCCAAGCAGTAGGAAAGGGCAGTCTGCTGGTCCTTGGTCAGACCTGGACAAAGTTTTGCTGGAGAACAAAGGAGATAGAGCAGCACCAGTCAATGAGAACACTGGATATCAGGCAGCACCTTGAGAAACCAGGGCTTGATACTTTGAGCTGTGATACCAGTCCAGTCAGATAGCCAGGTCTTGAGAACAGCAGCCAGGAGGGATTCAGGACACAGAACAGGAACAAACACTAGACATAACACGACACACAAGACAAGACCACACGAGAGAACAAGCAGCAACAAAATAACACACTGACGACACACTATGACTAGAATGAAAAGAACAAAGAAACGAATACAAACTGCAGAGAGCAAATAAAACAAAAGAAAGAACCAAATGGCAAATTCTAGGAATCGATAACTAAAATAAAAACTGGGCAAAGACAAAATCAAAATAAAGAAAGAAACCAAACTAGAGGCTTGAGAAAACTAGAGCAAACATAAAGACAGGAACTAGACTAGAGCAAAATAACAAAAGCAAAGAAACCCTAATAAACCTCAAGAGAACTAAATGCAAAGCTAGACTGACTAGGAGAGTAAAATATAACACTACTAATATGACAAGTAGACTGACGAGGAATTATCTTACACACAATGAACTAACGCAACGAACCAGCAGAGACATGAGGGAAGAGGCACACTATAGAGAACACATGAGGAACAGGTGGACACAATCAAGATAACAAGGACTAGACTAGGACTAAACATGGGGGCGTGGTAGAGGGAAACAAGGGGGCAGGATGAGAGGAGCACATGGCCAACATAAACAAAGACAAAGCCATGTGCTCAGACACAAGACAAACAACGAAACGTTAAACAAAGACAGAACAGACATGACTGTCAGGGCAGGACCCTGACACTAACTGAGCCACTGTGATACCCAGTTTTTCCCCTTATTTTCCTGGCTAAACTCACTTATAGATGCGTTTCCTCCCATCATTTGTCTCTTGCTGATTTAACCTTTCATATTTTCTCTGTTGCACTCGTATGTTTGACATATTATGGCAAAAGTTGTTTTATCTTTTCTCAGAATTAAGCCACAGAATATGGAGAAGACTGTAGACAAGATGTAGCAGGGATCTTCAGGATGTGACAAACTTCAAGTGACCAGGACTTTTAAAGAGACTTTAAGAATACACTGCCAGGCCAAAAGAAAAAAAAGTTTCCATTCGGATTTAAATAAGCAAATGCTTAAGAGTTCATGACTGGGTCATTATTGCAGTGATTAATGTTTCTAGCATGTGGTTGACAACAATTATTTTAACCCTAACTGATGCAATGTGCACCTTTTTATTTCTTAAACTACCATTTTGGAAGATGTATTTAATGGCTATATTTTAGGATGATGATGCCAGGATTCAATCGGCTCAAACTGTAAAATATGGTTCAGGGAACATGAGGAATCATTTTCACACATGAATTGGCCACCACAGAGTCCTGAGCTCCAGACTCCACTGAAAGTCTTCGGATGTGCTGGAGTCGACTTTACAGAGTGGTTTGACTCCCATTGTCAATACAAGATTTTTGCCAAAAATTAATGCAACTTTTATTGGAAATACATTTTGTGATGTTGCATAAGATTTTTTGAAACAGTGCCACGATAAATGCACATGGTACTCAAGGCTAAAGGCACTGCATCAAAATATATATATATATTTTTTTTGGCCAGTGTATATTTAAATATTCAGTAAACATCTGTGAATCTAAAACACACAAGTTAAAGCTAACTCTATGAGCAGTTTCATGTCTTTGTCCTTTTTCCCACTTGATATATCTGTTGTATCTTGAAATAGCATTTAATAAAGCAAATGTATCTTAATTTTAACTTCTTAGGAAGTAGCTTGTTGAAAGCAGATGAATTATATAAAGTGCCAAGATGACATTGTGTTTCTGACATCTGTTAGTACAAGCTAAGTCTGATGAGTGATTTTTTAAAAATCTATATATGTAGGCTATTCAAAGACAACTTTCCTTTCATCCACTGTTGTTTTTATTGGCCTGTGTAAATTAAAGTTTGATAATCATTTAAAGTGTTAGTTTAAATTGATCGCTTTTTTATTTAATGTGTAGCACAAATATTTTAAAACCTTTCCCAATTTCTGTAAAGTTCCTGTTCATCCAAAACCTTTCACAAACCTGTTGACCACCACTCTGCATTTACCTGATTATAAACTGCTTTCTGACATCATAAATAACTGACAAATAAAATGTCTAATGTGCTGCTTTGTGTGTCACACCGTGTCTACACTGGACGCGAGAGGCACGACTTGACAAAAGACAATAGAACCCATTATAATCAGTGATTCTGTCTGCAATGAATGTGGCGCGATGCGACAACAAATCCTCGACAATAAACCAATGCCTCGTTCTAGCCTTTTTATGACACACTGACAGACACAAAACTACTACAATTTAAACGGTCACTTTGTTGCGTCCAGTGTAGACACGGTGTTAGTCAAAAGTAGGCCTACCTTAAATGCACCTTGAAGTTTTCAAACATATTTTTCAGCTGTTGTTTTTTCTACGTAGGCCTAAATCATATTTGATTCATGTTTTTAACCTAGGCTATAGCTATATATATATATGTCACTTAGGCCTACAGTTTTGGCCACAAAACTGCTTTAAAGGGGTCATATGATGCTTTTTTAAAGATCATTATTTTGTGTATTTGGTGTAACAGAATATGTTGACATGCTTTAATGTTCAAAAAACACATTATTTTTCAAATACTGTGCATTATTGTACAAACCCGATTCCAAAAAAGTTGGGACACTGTACAAATTGTGAATAAAAACAGAATGCAATGATGTGGAAGCTCTCTCTCTCTCTCTCTCTCTCGCGCTCTCTCTCTCCCTCTCTCGCTCTCTTGCATCTCTCTGCTCTCTCTCTCTCTCGCTCGCTCACGCACACACACACACACGATGCGCAAAACTCCGCATTTGAACAGTCAATAGCAAATACTTAAACTAATAACAAAACAGTAGCTGATTCAGAAGTGCCAGATTGTCATAGCAAAGT